TGGGGACTGACTGGCTGGGGAACAGCCCTGATGAAAAGGAACTGGGGATCTTGGTGGACAGAAAGCTGCACAGAAGCCAGCAGTGAGTCCTGGCAGCAAGGCAGGTCAGCAGTGTCCTGGGCTGTATGAACAGGAACACAGCCCAGGAGACTGAGGGAAGTAATTGCCCCTCACTACTCACCACCTATCTAGATACCATCCAGTGTTGGCCTCTCACCCCACCCCCAAATACAGGACAGGTTTCAATAAACTGGATCAAGTCTAGCGAAGGTCAAGCAATATGGTGAGGGTTTGGAGCACAAGCTGAGGGAATGGGACTTGCTCAGTCAGGAGAAGAGAACCTGAGAGCTTGAGGGAACCTAACAGCAGCCCTTACAGTGCTTCTCAGGAGATTGCCAAAAAGATGGAGCTAGGCTCCTCACACTGCTGCATAGTGGGAGCATGAGAGAAAATGGGCACAAGTTGAAATAAGGGAGGTTTAGACTTATAAGAGAAAAAAGTTTTTTTCCCCATGAGGATGGACAGGCATTGCAGCAGGAGCCTATGCAGACTGAGCAGAGTCCTTCTCTGGAGTCATTCAAAACCTGACCGTTAAGAAATTTTTAAAGGCAAAATAAGCCCCAAATAACATCATACAAAATCTTGAGATTGGGCAGGAGTGGCAGAGTTGAAAACATTAAATCACATAGGTTCTTCATATGGCAGGTCATGATAATATTGTCGAAACTGCAGAAGTGAGTGTACTAGGTTATCTTCATTACAAAGGGAACAATAAGTCAATAATTAATAGAGAAGTTAAATAAATGCTTTTCTTACTTCATTCCATGTCGTGTAGAACTTTGGTGAAATACAATGCCTGTTAGTAAAGATGAGTCACTGCTAGAAATTACAAGTATCAAATGGTTGAGTGCTGAAACAGTTTGATAAACTATGCAAAAAATGTCACAAGAACCAGCTGTTCTGTCCATCCCTTTTCACTGAATTTATTCCTTTCACTTTGCCTCTGATCCCATTAATTTGGAGATCTGGAACTCAGTTTGGGATAGGGATGCTAGAATGCCCTGACCTTGTAATTTTTATGCTATTAAATGAATATATCTTACCTTTGAATAATAGATTAACACGTGACCCTGTATTTTTGATAGCATGAGCGTTCAAATGTTTGCTTATCAAAATGAGATTCAGGTATTAGGAAAGAAGTAATTGCAGACTTTCAGAAAGTAGACTTAGCATTTTCTTTTTCCTTCTTTTTCTTTTTTTAAGCAACACATCTGAAAGAATGTTCTTTGGCATCTCTTTTTTCCTGAAGGCCTTTAGAGGAGTTCCCATGACATTTACAAGAAAAAGAGTCCAATAATTGAGTCACACACAAGAGAATGAAAATTATAATTAACATTTATATAGCAAATTTTCTGACAAAGACACTTCTCAAGTAATTGACAAGCACTGGTGAAATGTATAGCATCGACCAGCAATGCTGTGAAAAAAAAACAGACCAAGTGAACCGCAAGTAAGTCCTTACTCTTGGAGAGCTCCACACAACATTATTGTGCTTTTCAAAGTAAAGATAGGATTTTGTTTTTTAAGGTTATGCTTTGCAAACTCTGCTTTAAATTAGAAGAACAGCAAGGAGTTGAGTCACCTTGGCTTTTGCTTGTGAAAATAATCAGGAATGATAGGTGAATAGGGACTGAGCCCAAATCTCAAGAAAAACGTATTCATACTTGGAAACAAAATGTAAAATCCCGTCTCCTGCTCTTCCTCTCTCCCTCCCCCCAACTTTTTCTTTTTCTTCCCTTGCTCTTGCTTTCACTGTACTTTCTGGTCTGGGAACTATTAAAATAGAACTAGAAAAGCTCTGTTCTGCTCCCAGACTAGCTGTGATACTATCTGGTTGGAATCTCCATTTTTGAGATCTACCCCAGAGAGAATCAGTTAAAGTTGAGGTAAGCAAGTAAAGTTTTTGAGTACTTGACTTTGTTACCTAACCATTAATTTGGTGCTGAAGAGAAGGAGTCACTGGGGAATCAGGTGTTTTGTCTTTTCCTGAACAAATTTGATCTGCTTGAGGCTTTTCGTTACTGCATTTGGCTCATTCTTTTTACCTTCTGCGCTAAAAGGATAACACAAAACTGTCATTAACTGAACCTTTGTTTAATAGTTTCCTTCTGAGAGGCCAAAGGATGGAGAAGGCAGTTCCAGGTTTGTGTGGGTTAGAGAAACCTGAGGAACATACTGGTATAGGTAACTTTTGTGAACTGAAATAAAATTCTGTCTCTGTTTAAATAGAGATTGTCAACCGGCCCTCCAATAAGAGGAGAAATTGGGTACTTGAACAGCATTATGGATGCATTCAGTAGTGCAGGATAGTGTTTGAAGTTCCAGGAGCTTCCTTCTCTTTCCATGTTTTGGTTTGCAGTAGTCAACATCCATTGAATGGCAAGAGGATTTAGGAAAAAGGAAAGCAGAGGCTGATGTGTTTTTTCATTTCCCATGTAACAGAGGTTTCCTAGAAAAAGTTAGTCTCCTAAGAAAACAAGTGGACAAAATCACTGATCATCTGTGGATCTTCTGTGGATGATGCAGATGCAGGGAGTATATTGAAAAAGTGTAGGAGAATATTATGTTAATGATTTTTGGACTATTGGCATATATTTAACTGTAAGTTACACTTACATCTGCTTATCAAACTGCAATTGTCCCTGATGAAGCATGTCCTTGATAAGACAGATGGAAATTTATCTTGACATGGGTTTTTGAACTCTGGGCTGAGAAGAACTATGTCCTACAAGAATTATCAGAGAGAAAGGGATGTGGATGGTCTGCCAGGGTTTCAAGGGGAAGGTTAAATGTCTATATAGAGTACCTAAGTGGAGAAAACATGGTCAGATAATGCACAGGAGCAGAGAAGCAAGTGGTTGTGAAAGCAGGGACAGGAGTATATTTATCTATGAGAGAGGTTATTAGGTAGCCAAATGACTCATATGTTTCATTGAGATTTTTGTGAATAGAAGTTGATCTTTGTGTGTTTTGTTGAAAGGTGTTGTGTGATCTTTTAAAGGAAAGTGAATTTGCCATAAGAGAAACCAGGAGAGTCCAGCTTACGCTAATAAAAAAGACAGCTCTGTGTGACCAAGGAGGAATTTTTCCCATTACTTCTCCTGAGAGACCGCTCCATCAAATGCTTGATTTCTTATTTTTAATTTTGAAGAGAAAAAAATAGAATATGACTTCTTGGGGTTTTTTAGAAAATAGTATTTCAACTGAAAAAAAAAAAAGAAGAATGGAACTTTTTCTCTCTGCATTCATTTTTCTGTCATTTGAAGCTCTTTCGGTGTGACGTTTTGGAAGACTCCTGTCCAACTGTATGGCTTTCAGACATCTTTTCATGTCATCTAAGTGGTACCTCTTTCATTTACCTGTTCAGAGTGTTCACATTCGGGATCTGAATCCTCTCAAAGATCCTTGAGTAATAGTGTTTGGGGACTTTCTGGGTCTGTCTATAACACTGATTTTCACGTTGTTATTCACAGATTTTAGTTAGTGAATAAAAAAAAAAAGGTTTCCTTATGTCAGAATTGAGAGGGTGTAATGAGGCCGGGACACATTTCCATTGTCAAGCTGTTTTCGTTATAACTGTGTGCTGTCCGTATTGATTAGAAGAGCTTGAAATTCCTCGGATTTGTCTCTAAGACAATTACTGTTGGCTTTGCTGTGAAGTTCTTCTAGAATTATGGCATACATGGGGTCTTTTTAAATACAGGATTAATCTGTTTTTTAAGAAATGCTCCTGTATGCTTCAATATATTAGCTTTTTGTTTTAAACTACTTTGTTTCTACCCAGCCCAGGTATCAATGCTGTGATTTACCCTGTTTATAGAACACTATGAAAGTAGAATGACGTCAGGTCCAGACAAGTGGGGAGGGAGAACAGACCAAGCATACTGTAAAGTTCTAGGTATGTTGGATTTTGGTTGTTGATTGGTGGGTTTTTTATTTTGGTTTTTTTTGTTAGGTTTTTTTTTATTTTATTTTGGGGGGGGGGCTTTTCTTTGTGTGTTTTGAGTTTTTCTTGTTTGGTTTTTGGGTGTTTTTTTTAAGGAGAGAGAGATATCACTACTTACTTGAATAGATTTAATCTCTTTGGGAAGTTTTCCAGATACTGAGACTAAATTCTTCCCTACTCAGTAGTAACCCTTTTTTTTTCTGCTTCACCCTTTCCTTCTCATCTTCTCACTTGCGAGTGGGAACAAATGCTATGCTTAGTTGGCTTATTATAAACATGGAATGAAACAGCTTTTAATAGAAAAATGGAATTTCTTTTTCATTTAAAGTTATGTTACTGTTGAGAAGATCTAGCCCCTGGATGGAGATGCATAGTCTTATTATTTTCAATGTGCATTGTGTCCATTGGCTCACTGGATATGTATGGAAGGGGAAATTCTAAAGTATTTTTAAATTGTCAAAACCAGCTACAAGTGAAAAAATGACATTTAGATTTTTCAAATCCAGTTCTTTTGCTGAATAAATATTTACCATGCCTGTTTATAATGTCATGTCAAATTAAACTAGTATTTATTTTGCCTGGATGAATACCATATCTAGCTTGAATTAACCTTGAGCAAAATGTTGACATTGCAAAAATACCGAGTTCAATATAGCAAACAGTTTTCTGAGTACTGCAAATGCTATTTTTGCAGTTTAAATCCATCTTTCTTGGACAAAACAGTGAAAACATCTCTAAGATCAGTTTTCAATTAATAGAAAGTTTGATATTCCTCATTTTATTTGCATGGAATGTAAGCAATAAAATGGCAATTTCTTCCCCTTAGTGGTTGAAAAAAACTTGTAACAAACCCCAGAAGACTATTGTAGAGGGAGCCTGGTAATATTTTTATTTTTTTTAATGCTAATTCTCCTTTTGCAGTGGGAGTGAATGATGTCATCCTGTCTCCTCCCACTGTGTAAACTAAGCTTGTGTCAAAGTGTTGCTGCCTCTTGTCACAGAGAGAACAGTTCACTTAAATGCAGCTGCAGTATTTTTGTGTGATACCTGTCAGAATCATTCCCAGTGCGAGGTTGGGTTTGTGACCATGATGTCAAGATTTGTCTGTCTTCTTTTCTGTGGATATATTGCACTAAACCTGGGAAATGCTCAGAAATTGCCAAGAGGCAAGTAGCTATGACAACTTTCTGGGGGTTTGTTTGTTTTTCTGTTGTGGGGCTTTTGGGTTTTTAGTGCTTGTGTTTTGCTATGGAAATTCACTTTCAACATGTTAGGAATGATTAAAGATAACGGAAGAGATGAAAGAAGGTCAGTCAAAAGGGCAAAGTCCAGGTACAAGAGAGTAACTTTAAAGCTCTTGAATAAAATAAGCTCAAAAGTTTTCATGGTATCTTGTGACTCTAGTGAGAAGTACAATGAAAAAAATTTACTGTATTTAATGATTTTATAATTATGTAGACAGCATTGTGCAGGTCTGCTGTTTAAGATTTTAAAGAAAATGTTACTTAGAATCACCCTGTGTTGTTGGTTGAAGATTTCAGTTCGGTCTTTGAAAGAACTTGTATGCTTTCCATTTATATCCATCTTTAGCAATTCAGTAGGAATTGACTGCAGCAGGTCAGGTTGTGTGCATTTTGAAGGAGAGAAAAATGATTGATTAAGATTTCTACAAGAAGAAAAAGCCCTCCAAACCTGTGTGAATATTTGTTTAACTTCCCCTGTCTCCTGGAGGCTGGAAGTACAGTAGATTTGCAAAGCTGGCAGCGATCTCTTCTCTTCCTTGCTAACGTGACACATGTAACATTGGCATTTTACTAGTATTTTATTACTTACTGCAGGAAGAACAGTCATAGCATAAAATTAAAGGAATATTTCTATCCGGATTGTAAATCACTTTGTAGTCCCTTGGCATGGAAGCAGCAATTTCACAACTGTTTCTGTACTGTACGTATTGCTCTCACTTTGTGGAAATGCTTGTCTGAGTCCATCGTGCTTTGTAATGCATTTTACATCTGCATTCTCCTGCAGCCAGTGACATTTAGATAGGAAGCTGTGATTTAGTTCCTTAGGATAATGTTTATCAAAGAATAAGCACTTTGGGAGCTTCCTAGGAGATTCCCTTTCACAGATGGGAAACTTAAAAGTCTTTTGGGGAGTAGAGTTGATTTTTCACCCACCACCCCTCCTCAAGAGACAAAGATTTCATTTTTTTTTCCTGCCTTTTTTTTTTTTTCCTCGTGATGATATTCTTTTGCAAGTGGCTTTCTTGTAAACTCATCTTCTGGAGTCAGTGTGGAGTTTTCTGCATAATGTTAATAGTGGGGCAATGTGTATTTTGTGAGTAAGGTAGATGTGCAGTTCAAGTCAAGCAGACTGTAAGACTTTAATTTTATCAAAGAAGTGACCTTTTAGTAAACAATTGTAGTGGTTTTCATAGGAGAGAGGACTACATTGAACAGAGTTTAATCTTGTATGTATTTCCTACATTGAGGGAGGGAACTTTTCCAGTCCTTGTCTTTTTTAAATGGTTTCACTGGACTTTCTGCTCTCTACTGTAGAACAGTGGGCTCTAAGTTTATGTTAACTGTGAAATTCAGACAAAGCTTCTAATCCACTGCAAGATTAACTCTGGCATGCATTTTTTTTCTGTCCTAAAATAACATTGCAGAAGTGAAGTTCTGTTTGCCAAATGCATAAAGCTGCAGGTGGAAAGTTCATTTCTTTTCAATGAAACAGCTTTTTTAAGATTGTTCCATTGCAATGTTGAAACATCAGTCTAATTCTTTTGTTTGTAGCTGCCTCACTGGTTATTATTTAATAGGACTGCATTGAAAAAGTGAATGTATTAGTATTTAGCTGTTATCTGGAAATGTTCGAAGGATTGTCTTTTACAACAATGTCTTGTTTGATAGGGAGTACAGACTTTTTTCGTAAGCAAAGTGTATATTTGGACTTTAAAGCATTTTAAAAATGAAGATATGTAGTGGTAGTATTCTTTTAAGAGGGCTACTCTGCCTTGCTAAGCAAGCTTGAATTCCAGTGAACTCCTGTGCTCTTTAAGTTATGAAGTACGTGACCGAAGCTTCAGGGTCACTCCTGCTCTCTGGGGAACAGTGGAATCAATTCTATAACTTGAGGGAAAACAATCTAGCCAAACTCACTTTCTGGTGATGCAGATACTCATGTGAACAGGTTATCAGAGTAAATCTTGCCACTCTTACTTGAGCTTTGGAATTCTAGTGCTCAGTTCTTCTTTCCATGGGAGACAAAACACATTGACCCCTGGTCTCATGGGCTGGGATTTCCATTCAGTGATACAAGGTGGAAGGAACATCTTGCCTCCTGCAGCTGCAAAGGAACAGAGCCAGTACACCCTTTGGATGTTAGTGACTTCCAGAGCTATCTGAGAGATTGTGTGCAAATATGCTGTTCAAGAGGATGGAACACAAATTACTCCATTTTCTCATATATTTTTATACTTTTACCTCCGCAAGTGTGTGTTTGACTAGGGTGAAAAAGAAAATGTTACTGCTGTTCTGAAAAGAGTATTCTTTATCAACAAATTATTTCTTTAATTATTTTGACTTCAAAAATTAAGGCACTGTCGGAGGAATAGTTTGGAAACATTACCGGCGTGACTGAAGTAGTCAACATTGGCAAAACACCAGTTAAATTTTCCAGTGGAAACTTTGCACTGCTTCTGTGTATCCTGCATTATAATAGTTTTGTCTTTATAGAAAACAAGGCCTCTACTTACATCTGTTCCTAGCGTAGTGCCCTAAGCGTAGGTGAACACCCTTTCTGTTGAGGTTCCTTGTCACATTTACTGTAGCAAATGACAAGCAATGAGGCAGTTGTAAGCTATGTCATAATTCAGACTCCTTCTATGTTAAGATTTTGCAGACATAAGTAAAGGCAATGTAATTGGAAAAGGAAGGTTGGTGGGTATTGCGTTTTAACGTGGAGGCAATGCTTTTTTACAATTATGTTTGTGTTTCATTTGAGGTATCAGCTGCCGAGAAAATTCTGTAGTTACTGCCTGTGAATACTATGTGAGATGATGGTACAGTTAGGGATGGTCTTTCATGCAATATTTAAACCACTGTCCCTTCAACTTTGTCTAGCTTCTAAAGTTTTCTATTTCATCAGAAAGAGCTATTTGAATACTTTCCACTTACTTTTGTCTCTTTCCTTATGCCACTATGTCAGTGCCATCCAACATATAATTCTTCAGTTCAACACTCTAGTACTTGAAATATTTTAATGATGGGTGGAAACAGTTGCAATGCATAGGTGTAAGAGTTATGACTTGTCATACTGTCTCTAATTCTTATGGTTCTCCGGCCCATTCTTAAAGAAAACCAAGTTGTCTCTCTAGACAGGAATTGCATAAGGACAAAAAGTTTTGTCTTTAGAGCTCTAATAGTCAGAGCATCCTGAATCTGAGAGAGAGATGAGAAAGTAAAGCCTCAGAACCAAGAACAAACAAGTTACAGGATACAATCCACAAGACTGTACTGCCTTGTAAACCGTGTTTCACTGGTATCTTTCCAGCTGGAGCTGATACAAATGTTGAAGGCCACAGTTGTGGAACAAATTCCTAGTGTTTGGTAAAACAACATTTCATGTTTTTGATTTTGTCACTTGACTTTCCAGCTACAACACAGATGTGCATGGAAATGTGCTTTTCCACTATACCCTCTGTTTCCAATAGCTTTTGTGTATCTTCATGTTCTGTCTTACTTTGTTAGAGCTGAAAAGAATTTTGGGTTGATCCCTCCTTATAAACTTATGGTTTTCTGAAATTTTTAAAAAGAAGATTCTGAATGTTTTTCTGGTTTGTTTTGATTTGGGGGTTTTTAAGCCATGTTTCTGACCACTGTGGTTTTCCTACTATTTGAATTAGTCATCAGGTACAGTGGAATTCAGGTCCATCCTCGTTCTACTTTCCAGGACTCAGGCCTGGCCTGTTCTGCTTTCCAGGAAGGGCCTTGGAAACCTTAATTCACCTTCCTCCTGGTTACTGTCTTCTTAGGAAAAAGAGTAAAGACTTGACATTCCTTAGGGCACCCTGTAGAAAAGTCTGATTTACAGACTCATGTAGGAAAAACCAGATCCAAAACTTTCTTTTATCTACAGTTGTCAACTAAGGAGGTAGGCAGGAAAAGTAATAGTTTTACTTTGAGGATTTGTTTCTTTGTTTGGTAAGTATTGAATACGTTTGGTCTAATATTGTAGATAGCTACTAGCTAATATTTGTACTTAAAGTAATTATAACTGACATCCCTCTGAGAGTGAGTGCTGTATTTACAGTATACCTCCAAACTAACCGTTGACATTTTTGAAAGGAACAGGCTCATTTTATTCATAGCTAAATCTGCTGGCTATGCTATATTACATAATACATCTTACTAACCAGAGGATAAACTCAGCATGTGTTTTTCTTTACTGCTGTCAAGAAGTTAAAACAATGCTGAGTGATTTCACTGTATCAAAGTTACTATACTGGAACAGTCAAACCTTACATTTTTGTGCAGCCCTCTACCTTCCCCACATCAGCACCCCTTTGGTAGCTGTAGGATGATAGGGCAGAAATTGCAAGACAGGGAAAAGTCTCCTGAAAGTTGAGGTTTTTTGAACATGTAATAAAGCTGCTGTATCAAAATATCACAAAAGGAGGGCTATGACATGTGTTTTATATGTTTTTTTCACCATGGTTTATAAAATGTCTTTCTGGGAACTATTTTTCAAAATGCACAGGGCATTAACCTTTAAAAAACATTCTTAGGAAGGAGGGCCAATTTGAACTAAAACATTGAACTTCATTTTTTTTTAGTGTCTGCAAAAGAGAAGTGAAAGATTAATGTGTTTTTTATTACATACTTTTCTTATGTTTAATGGCACATAAGTGACAAGATCTATGAGAATTTTAAAAGGGATCCTTTATCTGTTGTAATAGAGTGGCTAGGGTTTTCAGTCAGCAGATATGTTGGCAACTTTGGCTCATTCTTCACTGAAAATGAAAACAGCCCATAAGAATGTTGCCATTATAGCAGTTCATTTAATCAAAGTTATCTTTTCATGCAGACAATTGCTTCCTAGGCTTTCACAAAAACATATCAAAACCCAACATTGAGTGTCAGGCTTCCAAGTTCAGAGATAGTCT